GATGATCTTAAGGTCCTTTCCAACTCCAACTCTTCTGTGATTCTATGACTCTATGCTGCTTACAGAAGGTTTCCCTGTATCCATATAAAGTCATTTTGAAGGGAAAATACTTTCCCAGCAACTTCAGAGACTAGGGTGGGTCTATTTTCAGACTTGCAAGAGCTTGTGAGGGTGAACAATGTCTGCCTTTGGCTCTGATTTGCTATCTTGCGGGGAGTGTTCCCAAGTGGCATGGCAGTGCAGTACTTAGGAGGGCTGGCTGGGAACCAAGCTGTTGCCCATGCAAGCTTCAGCCTGTGGTCACAGCTTTGTGTGTTCATGATCAGGACTTCCCGCGCCAGAGTGTACTCCATGGTGCTTAATGTTAAGCTTATTTTTGCCTTTAATGACATACCTGTAGCCCCCTTGATTTTAACAAAAAAGTTATTGCTCTGCTTGCTGGGGTGTGATGAATCTGTGCATGTGTGGACACCGAAGTAAGACCAGCGAGGACCAGCTAACCCTGAGCTGTGATAGACCACCCAGGTACCAGCAAGGTACCAGCAAGGGTGGGCTGGGAGATGCCAGATCTCTGCCTGCTGTGGATGAACAGAGAAGAGGTGCCCGGTGAGGGAGGGGTGTTTGGAACAGATGCCAAATGGTAGCCTCATCCAGGAAGTCACAGGCTTTGCCACATAACCACATAACAGCAATGGGAAGTCCTTTCCAGCTGCTGCTTTTGACATAACGCAGACCGTCAGCTCCCCGTGATCTGCAGAAGCAGCACAGCCTGTGCTTTTCAGGCTCATTTCACCTCTCCTGGGGTGAATGAGCTCACTGGCTCTGTAACTAAGCCCCTTCCCAGGCCAGGGAGAGCTATTTGTCTTACAAACAATGGGTAGAGCAGGGAGGAAATGCTTGAAGTGCCTGCAGGCAGCAGCTGATCTCCATCAGCAGTCTGTACTGTCCTCTTGGCCAAGGAGCTCCTGAGCAGTCAGGGTGAGTGCTGGCAGGGAGCATCCTGTACATCCATGGATCCTGTATATCCACAGTGCTCCTGTCTCAAGAGGGACCCAGAGGCCACTCAGCCACATTGGTGGTGGTGACCGTTGTCATCAGCAGGTGCAACCCACGAGCCCCCATCCTGAAGGAAGCACATGGAGAAAGATTCCCCTTTGTGGACAGTGCAGCAAACAGAGCAGCAAGGCCTCTAAGATGCAGGATGTAGGATGAGGGCCAGTTGACTCCTTGCTGGCAGGAATCAAGTCATCTGCTCTGTACAAGGTGGGCTTCGTTCCAGTCCTGCTAAGCGCATGGTGGCCATGCTTCCTTCACAAGGACCCTGGAAGCAAGGGAGGTGACTTGCAGGAGGGAATGTCCTCATATCCTCTGATGTCCCTGCAAGGCTCAGCCATCCCCTGCTGCCCCCTTGTCCCTTGTCCATCTCTGGCTGCTCCAGGGGGCTGTGAGAGAGAGTGTGATCGGGACCAACACAGACAGTAAGCAGGTGCCATGTACCTGGGTGTCAGCTCACTGTGATGGGGGTCTGGCTACTGCTGTGGCCTGTCACGATTTGACTTTATATCTGCTGACTTCTTGGCCTTTCTCACTTGTTTTTAGTGGAGGAAGAAGCCTAGCTCTAGAGTTTTGGCTGTCTGGATTTAAGTCAAATATCTCAAGCGACAACACTGACTCTTCCCATGACACTGCTGCTTCTCTGGGGATGTGCATTCTCTCCCAACCTCAGGGCCATGCCGGACAGAGGCAGAAGCCTGTGAATGCTCCCAGTTCATTTTGCAGCCAAAGGCAGTGTCTCACGCTCCTCCTGGTTAGAGCAGGATGTACATCCCGAGCTTGAGCTGGGGGCTGACTCATAATGGCCAGGCTCTGGCTGTGCTGTGGCTGCCGTACCGAGGCACCTGTCGGGCGTTGCTGGGCCTGCCGTACCGAGCCAGCTGTGAAGTTGTGCAGGCAATTCCCCTTGCTAGGAGACAGAAGCAATTTCTCCTTGACCGGGAGGTGGGTGGAAATTCCCTCTGTCTTTTTCTCTGCCAGCAGTTGCTGTAGAACAATCCTGGTGTGATCTGCTCCTGGCAGGGTGAGTGAACATCCATGGGCAGGGGGTGTCCGGGCCCTTGGCACAGAGGGAAGCTCAGTGGCAGCCAAGGCTGAGACACCTCAGGTGGTGGATTTAGGGGTGTGTTGAATGCTGCCAGTTACTGACCAGGGAAGAATTGAGCCAGATCCTGGGAGAGCATAATGGCACCTTAAAATCCATCTGGCTTTTTACGTAAGAATTAGGGTCTCTCCGTTTCTGTGGTGGAAGATGGCGGTCATATGGGGTCTGCTGTGTTTCTCCTGCCTCATGCAGAACCCCAGCAACTGGGGATAAAGAGGAGAGTGTCATACAGGGCCAAAGGTAGCCCTGTCTCTCAGGGACAGGCCTCAAGCTCTGCAGCTGGAAGGGCGCCTTGCATGTGGAGGGTTCTGCATGGCTGGAGCAGAAGGCAGAAGCAGCAGCAGCAGTAGCTGCTGGCAGCCCTTGCAGAGCATGGGGTGAGCTAAACCGCCTGGGGACATCGGGTCTCACTGAGCTGCCAAGTGCCCTGTTGTCCCTATTGTTCTTGGGACACCAGAAAAAGAACAGGAAATGGCCGTGCTGGGGAAGGGGAGCAGAGTGCGTGACATGAGGTGGCCCCATTGTGTCCTGGGGATGGCAATACACAGCCCTGCTGCTGTGCAGGGGCCAGGCAGAGCTTTGGAAGGGGGCACATGCCCAGGTCCCTCTGTTAGCCCCATGATCACCACACTGTGCCACGCTATGGTTGTACTCAGGGGAACAACCTCCAGCGGGGTGTTGCTGAGAGTGCAGGGCTGGACATGGTCTGGAGTCCGGATCTGCGCTGGGCCACCTGGAGCAAGGATAACTCCAGTACCCTTCCACAGAGGAAAGGGTGCTGTGTCGCCAACACACCCCTCTCGTGGCCAGTATGCGGAAATCAATGCCTGCAGCAGCACAACCAGCAACAGGTTAACCAACGGAATGAAACCCTGCTTAAAACCTGCTCTCAGCTGAGACACTTCTCTGGGATCACACCAGCTGCTCAGGAGTGGGGAGCCACCTAGGCATCCCTTGGAATAAGACAGAGGATGGCTGATACCCTCTGACTGGTGACACCAGTGTGGATCTGCCCCTGGATCCCGAGGAGAGGCAAAAAGATGCCAGCTCTCTGCTGGAAGGTGTTGGTGCAGTGGGATGCACCCTGAAACCTGCTCCCCACTGCCTGCAAGAGGGCTGCAGGACAGAGTAAACATGCAGGGCTAAGGTCAGTGCATGTTGAGGACCCCAGAAGGAGCATCAGGACCCCAATCTGCTTCTTTCTTACAGGGCTGGGTATGAGCCATGGTCTGTGAGCCAGCGTACCCAGGGGCTTCAGTCGGGCTGTCTCAGGAGTACTTGTAGGAAATGCCTTCTCCTTGTGGAGCCTAATGGAAGCTTCAGCTTTTGGTTACTGCCTGCATCTTCGGAGCAAAGGGGAAAAGCTGATGTGTTCTTCAAGCTATCAATAAGTGGAAATAAACACTATGTGCTCCTTTGGTCTGCACTTCCTATTGTGGGGAATTAATAGCTGCATTTTGCAGAACAGCCCCACTGAAGAGGGTTTGAACAGAAAAGGTGCTTCTTCCTTTCCTGGTATATGAGTTACGTCTCCAACGTTTCCCAGCCTGAGGGGTAAACATCTCCAAACAGATCTGCAAAACAGCTCTGTTCCCATCTGATTTTGGAAGCAACTCCCTGTTTAAGCAGGGGTTGGAGCTCTCTAGGGAGAAATGGAGCTCTGCATTCACCTGGTCTCTTCACAGGTCTCTCCCAAGGAGAGAGCTCTGCCACCCTCTAGCCAGCCTCTGGCTGAACGTTCACCCAGGTGGAACAGGAGAAGCATGACTCTGAATTCCGCTAGCCAACTGCCATAGGCTTTGCTACAGATTGAAATCATGCTGGAAAAAAGGATGCTGCATAGGTGGCTAAGTCGCCCAAAAGAGTGCGTGGGACCCATCCAGCTTCCTCAGAACCCGTTGGAAGTGATTGGCCCCATTTAAAAGGCTAGGGAAGAGGCATGCTTGCAGTCACATGGTGTTTAAAAGTATTTCTCCCTTTTTACAGGACCCTCCATCGTGACCCCTCCTAAGGACATCTGGAATGTGACAGGAGCACAGATCTACCTGAGCTGTGAAGTCATTGGCATCCCAACCCCTGTCCTCACCTGGAACAAGGTAAGGGCCCTGCTGGGAGCCCTTAGAGCACTGCAAACCTGAGGCAGCTGAAACTGCCTGGTAAGAATAAAGGCCATAGCAGATTCCTCCTTGGAAACACTCATCTTCTGTGAGTTCTCCCACATGTGCAGTTCTGTCCACCCCCAAACATCTGGCTTTGCTTAACCTTTAGTCGCTGCTTTCTCTAAACCCTAGCTGATCCCGAGGCAGAGCAGGACTGTGCTTGTCTTGGTAGCGCCTGGTATTCTGAGCATGCCAGGAATGTTCCTTGACCTGCCATCACCCTGCTGACGGCAGCGACTCTGAGGTGTCTGGACACAGGTTGCCCACATCAGGATCAGGAATCACATGGGGCAGTCCTCTCTGTTAGCCAGCTGCTGCCGGTCTTGGCAGAGCATGGGTAATGTCTGGCGTAGGGCAGGGGCCAGCATTGGGCAGAGAGGATCCCACACTGAGAGGCACTGCGTAGGCCCTGTAGGTTCCTCAAATGCTACAGGTTTGTGGACACTTGGAAGGGATCCTTAAGCTGAAACAATACTAGCTTAAAAACATGACAGAGAAAAATACCAGGTTGGCCCAAATGTTACTCTGTTCTGAAACAGCAGGCTTTATTCACAGTGCTCCCAGAGCAGACTCTTGCGTGAGCATACAATGTAGGCATGTTGTCTCAGGCAGCATTTTCTGCTTGTATATAAGCAGACACCATGTTTACACTACTCTGCTGTTCGTGCCTGTTCCTCATGGCTGAGACACTGCTTGACCCTGTGGTAACAAGGGCTGAGCACCACTTATCCTGCACTCTGTCTGCTCTCGGCTCAGATACATGGCCCTGGGGAATGGCTGCACCGCTGCTCTCCCACGGATGCCGCGCCCCTCATAAGGGACTGCCTGGTTTGCTGCGTCAGAAGCCTGCAGGGCTGTTGGTAGGAAGAGGATAGGTCATGCAGGGAGAGTCCATTCTAGGAGCAACATGCAGACACTCAATTCTCTGCTACTGCCACTCTAAAAAGCCTGATCATCTGGAGCCTCTCCAGACAAGGACCACAGGTAGCTGCTCGCATCTGCTGCAGGCAGCTGAATCCTCCTTGTTTAGCACAGGCATCGTTTGATGGGCTAAACACACCCATGGGAACACACACAGGAGTTCCATGAGACCATGCTGGTGCAGGGCATGTCTGCACACCCCAGAAAGCTGTGCTGCTTTACTCGTTCCTGATGAGGCAAGGGGAGAGTAGGCTCAGTGTAGACACTGAGGCATTGGGGTAGTGGGGCTGCAGTGCACAGAAGATAAGGCGAAATGCTGAGCACTAGAAGAAACTGGCACCTACCATTTGTGCGTGGTAGTGCACAAAACACATTCATGTAAAAGCAGTGCTTTCTTGTCTTCGGGCAGGTATGGTCCTAACAGTTCCAGCGTAAATGATTCCCAAAACTCTTACCCCTTTCTGCCCTTGTGTTTAGATAATTCGGGGTCAGTATGGCGTCCAGAGGATGGAACTTCTGCCTGGGGACCGGGAGAACTTGGCTATCCAGACCCGAGGGGGCCCCGAGAAACACGAAGTGACTGGCTGGGTGCTCGTAAGTACTTTGTGTGTGCACAGGGCGGCACAAACAGCACAATGCAGGTTGCAAACAGCCCATGCACAAAGAACAGCACAGAAGCCACATGGCAACAGACAGGGCATCTAAAGGCAGACAACCTGTGTGAATTAGGCATGAAGGACAAGGGTGACAGTTGGCTCCAGTCTTACCCATTGCAGGTTTTCACCTCTGTGTAGCATGCAGAAGCATGCATTCTACGGTCAGAGAAGGCCAGACTTAAATAAAAGATCTCCTTTCCGTATGTCATTACTTTTCTGCTCCCGTTAGTGGGAAGGAGACCCTCACCATGCCGAGGGAGGAACCGGTACAGATGCAAGGAAGCACATCACCTGCCAGAGAGCAGCACAGCACAGAAGCCCTCAGCCCTCACTCAACAGACCTCCTGAGCTACAGGAGTACCTGCAGGCCGATCAGCAACTGCCACACATCAGGCGGAGCTGCTGTGCATCCCAGTAAGGGAACTGCAAGTATGATGGCTCCCAGAAGCAAGGGAGCACAGCTTAGGGCGTTGCTTCCCAAACCATTTGCAAAAGCAGAGGTGGAAACAAGGGGAGTGAAGGGTTTGAGCTGACGATTTTGCTGGACTGATTGGATGCAGCGTCTTTTAGGAAGGCTTTTTCTTCCTGCCTCTCTCCCCTTATGAAGCACTCAGTGCTCTGACACATCTCCAAACTAAGTAAACAGTAAAAGACAAGGAGGAAGTGTTACAGCACATGCAATCTGGCCTAGCAGAGAACAACATTACGGTGATCCACAGGAGTGGGTGCTCGTCCCAAACCTCACTGGAGAGAGCCACCGCAATCTGGACCAGGCTGTTCAGAGCAGACAGAAGAAAGCATGTTGTCAGTGTGGTCCCTATGGGTTAACTGATACTTCACACAGTAGATACCTTAAAACAGAACCACCTTTACCTATGCACAGGACACTTACTAGGGCATGGTGGGGCGTGTTTCTTTCTCTAGATATCTCCTCTGAGCAAAGAGGATGCTGGGGAATATGAGTGTCATGCATCAAATGCCAAAGGAGAGGCAACAGCTTCTGCAAAAATCCACGTTGTGGAAACTCTGCATGAAATAGCTCTGACCAAAGGTAGGTAATGTGGTTGAACACTCATCAGCTCTTTCCCCTCACAGTTTACTCAGTTACCTGGCACAGAAGGACCACCTCTGTCCAGAACATTCCCAGCAAATCTCTGCTGCCAGAGTTCTCAAGGGATTGTTAAGTAATCCCCAAGTGCTGTAAAGTACTGGAGATTAAGATACCAAGTTAAAACCACTTTATTTTTTTTTTTGGGGGGGGGTTTGGGGGGATGGGATTTACAAAGCATCTTTCAGTGGCTTTCCAGCACCTAAGTTTGTATCGTCCTTTCAGCGTTCTCTGAACGCTTCCAAACTTGCCCCTCTCCTGGGAGCACTGTTGTCACAACCAGACCCAAGGGAGAGGGGAACTTAAACCACTTTAGTTCCTGCCAAGTCCCAGCACCTCCTTACTCTTCCTCATCCTGGAAGCTTTCCAGTCTCTGCCATTCTCTCTGAATGCTGGAGTATCAAACCAGGGAGGGGACAGATAGGCCACAGCAGGCCTCTAAGCAAGGCCTGAAGCTTTTACCCTCCAGCCCTGAGTAATTTTTCAAACCCAGGTCATCTTTGCCAGGCTGCATTCAAAGCTGATGGCAAACCCACCACCCTCATTCCAGCTGCACAAAGAGGATGGCTTAGTACCACAGCCACATGTGCTTCAGAATAAATCTGGAGAGCTGGAACAGTAACTGTAACCGTGCTAGAAGCAGAGGCACTGGGAACAAAGCATCCAGCTACAAAACACTGCTGCCTAAATCCACTTCTGGACATAATCCTTCATTTTAATCCCAGTAGCTTTATCCAAACTATAGTCTTGATTTTCTATATCCTTATATCCCTGAATAGATGAAAGACTTCCTTTAGGAGAACATTAACAGCACCTGGCATTGAAATAAGAACATAAAATGAATCCCTTGCTAAAGGTTTTTAGCTAGTCTCTAATCCCTTTTCAAACATTTTATTTATGGATGTGAATGAAACTGAGTTTTACCGAGTTGTGCCACGAGGAGCACACTTATATCCCAGAACAGATGATGTTCACTCCCCCTCTCACAGCAACTCTACTGCGAGGTTGTAGTACTGCGTGCATTCATTGCCCCATGGTTTCTTTCTTACATGCACACTGTGTTACAGCTGTTTCGTTTCAGCTGTAGGAAAGCTCTCAAGCAAGCATGCTGTAGCTAAGCAATAAGCTGGCAATCCACAATGAAAGGAAACTGGTAATGTTAGTGGAACAAACTGTCAGACTCCTAAGCGACACCCTGTGCAGCTAGGGAGTCTGTGTCCCATGTCCAGTTGATCTCAGCATAGAAAAATGCCATCTCTTACCATCCCCCTGGCTGCTGTGGTCCTGCAGTAGGGAAGGAAGGAAAGAAGGAAGGAGGGGGTCAGGGCCAAGTTGTTAGGTCAGAAAACACACGCTGTGCTACAGCCCGAGTTGTGCTATTGCCCCTTGGAACAGTGCAGAGCATAACGTGTTTTTGTTTCTCCACAGATGATGGTGCAGAGCTGTGATGTGAGGACTTTCACTTACGCACAGTTTTAAGTTAGTGTTTTGGAAAACTGCAACCTCTGGCTTTTTCTAGCTCACTAATCATCCCCTTAACCCCCTTGTTCTTTGATAACCAATTCGCTTGCACACTTCTTTCACACATACACAAATAAAGAGATTCACAAGTTTGATTACAAATTTTAATTCTATTTACAGGAAATAAACATACTTTGGAACAGCATATAGCACATGAGTAAAGCTGTATTTTAAATGCAACCTACACAAAGTGAAACAAAACCTGAGCACTTCAGTCTCATCATTAAAAAGAAAAAAAGCCTTTTTAAAGGCTAAACACTCATCATACGAGGTGCGATACTCATAGACATCAGTTCCTGGAAGAGGAGTTTGCAGGCGTAGGGCATTCGAACCAAAGATATCTGGAAAGAGATTTCAAAAGGTTTGTGATAAGCACTCCTAAAATATCAACTTCCACCACCCTCTACACAAATAACTTCTTAGGTTTTTGGCTCAAAAGTGAGTCTGAAGTTATGTATGAAAGCATTTAACAGGAATTGCTCACAGACAAAGCAAGAGGAAAGCTGAGACTGTCTGTAGAGGCTACACAGCAGCTATCCAGACCACATTTTTAATGTGAAAACCTGCCAAGGGATCTGCTCTTAAACAACAGCTATTTAACAAGGGAAAATGTGCAAAGTGTGCCTGATGTGCAGTAAATGTAGTGATCATTTCCAGCACACATCTCTTCAGTAGCCTCAAGGCCATTTTACAGTTGCAACTGTCGGTCCCCAGCACAAGAACAAGCCTATTTAAGGCATCTATTTTTATCTCTGCTGCCGCTTTCCCTTGACATAGTTCTGTTACCAAGCACACACTACAGAGCTTTTTATTAACAATTGAAAAAGTGCAGCACAAAAGGCCTCCCATGGGGACTGAGCTCTGCAAGCATGAATATCTTCATGGGGACTGTCAAGGGCGATGGCTCTGAATTCCTGATTCTGAATTTTACTTCTAAAAATAAGCTCTCAAGCGTTTACTTTTAAAGTCTCTGAAAACTGAAAATGCAAAACATTTGAACAGCATTTCCTGCCAAGTGGCACGCCGATGTTGTAAAATTAATAACAAGACATTCAAATTATCTAGGATGCTATAAACACTTAAAACAGTTATGAAACTAAAATAGCAATTGTTCTGGTGCTTCTTTAAATATTTACTTCCCTATCCTCCTGTTCACCCGAGCAGTGTTTCCTCTGGCCCACAGAGGAGCGCTGGCTGATGAAAACCACACATACCTGAGTTTTATTACGGCATCCCCGGCATTCGTAGGTGTGAGTCCTTGTGTTTGCAATCGCCATGATGCCACAGAGATTGCAGACATGGACTTGGTATGGGTCTGAGGCTTCAAACAATCTTTCTCTCAAGAACTGGGCTGCTCCGTGAGCAATCTGGCAATCCCGTTCCATTTCTCCAAACCGAAGGCCACCATCACTGAAAAGAGGAAAAAAACCAGCTTTTGAGTTCACTGGCAAAATACATCCGTTCTTGTTGGTGAAACAAGTAACCCTTCAGAAACACAGCAGCAGCATTACAAGGTAGAAGTAAGGCTGTGCAGTAATTTAACACCTCAGAACAGTGTGAGGGAGAACATGGACACATAATTTGTAACTGCTGCTGAGCATTTCTAAAGCAGAAGTCGGCCAGCTGACAGCACAACCGCATAGCAAAGTGAGGTAAACATCATTCCTACTTATCTGTGGTGGGTTTAACCTTGGCTAGCTGCCACATGCCCATCAACAGCTCTCTCCCTCCCCCATGTCAACAGGACAGGGGGAGAAAGTAAGATGGGAAAAGCACATGGGTTGAGACAAAACCAGGGAGATCGCTTACTAATTGCCATCACAGGCAAAACAAGACTCAGCATGGGGAAATTAGTTTAATTTATTGCCCATTAGAAATGGAGTAGGATGGTGAGAAACAAAAGACAAAACTAAAACCATCATCTTCTCTGCTACCTTCTTCCCAGACTCAACTTTACCGTTTATTTCCAAGTCCCTCCTCCCCTCAGTCATAGGGGAATGAGAGTTGCAGTTAGAGCATAACAGTTCCTCTCTGCCACTCCTACCTCCTCACACTTTTTCCGTGCTCTAGAATAGGGTCCCTCCCAGTGGGATAGTCCTTCAAGAGCTACTCCAGCATGGGCCCTTCCTGTGGAGCCCACAATCCTTCAGGAACAGATTGCTGCAGCATGGGTCCCCCACAGATCACAGCTCCTGCCAGGAGCCTGCTCCAGTACGGGTTTTCCACAGGCTGCAGCATGGATATCTGCTCCATGGGCTGCTGTCAAACGACCTGCTTCACCATGGCCTGCATGGGAATCTCTGTGCCAGTGGCTGGAACAACTCCTCCCTCTCCTCCTCCTCCTCCGAGTGGGTGTCTGCAGGGCTGTTCCTTTTGCACTACCTCACTCCCCCCTGCCCAGCAGGTTTTACCCTTTCTCAAGGGTCACTGATGGGCTCAGCTTTGGCCAGCAGTGGGTCTGCTGGAGCCAGCTCTAAGCGGTTGTGTCTAGCACAGGGCAACACCTGGTCCTTCCTCAGAGAAGCCACCTCAGCAGTGCCCCCTGCTACCAAAACCTTGACATCTGCACTCAACACACCATCTTCAAGCTGAACACATACAAATGGATAGTTAATTGGGGTGAGCTAATCCAGTTCTACCTGCGAAGTTGAGGCAGTTAGTTTTTAGGGCGAAAAACTTCAAAGAAAAAGAAAACACTGTACAGAAACTAATGATCATCCTTACCGAGATCGACCCTCCATGGGCTGTCTGTTAAGTATCTGGATAGGCCCTCTTGCACGAGAATGGATTTTGTCATCCACCATGTGCTTCAACCGCTGATAATACGTAGGACCAATGAAGATCTGTGATGTGATTTTTCGACCAGTGAAGCCATTGTAGAGAACCTGAAGTAACCAATGCAATCACTGAATCATAAGCCTTCCTATCCACCAAATATATATTAAAAACATTACAGTGAATCAACATTTTGATTATACCTCGTTTCCTCTTAGATGATAGCCATAATCTGATAAAAGATTGGAAATCTTCTGCACGTTGACAGCATCGTTGAAAGGTGTAGCATCGCCAATCTCTCCCTTGTTTGCAGACACCTACAGAGATTTGGAAAAGCCTGTCAGATTTCTGAACTTCTTCCAGACAATATGAAGCTTTTCCAAACAGTTTTTACAGAATCTGAGGTTGCATGCCCAGGTCAGTGCCCCATCTGGCCTTGTTTATCAGCTACACAATTTATAGCAAGATTTTAACAAACAATTTTTGAGCAAGATTTATAGCAAGATTTTAACAAACAATTTTTGAGCAAGATTTATAGCAAGATTTTATCAACAATTTAGCTACTCCTTTTTCTAGATCACAGGAAATGTATGGAATAAAAGCAACAGATGGGAGAGCACACTGTAATCTGACTTGCTGGACAGAATTTACAGGACTGGAGGTCTTCCCCAAGAAACCTGCTTTTGCTATCAAATAACTAGAAAACAATCCTTATATTTTAGTGGATTAACACCTACCAGGGAGTAGTATCTTAAAAAAACCTATATTGCTCAGACATGCAGCATAAAAGATTCTTCTTACCTTCCCCTGGAGACACTCGATCAAGTGACCAATGGTCATACGGGAAGGGATGGCATGAGGGTTGATAATTATATCAGGTGTGATGCCTTCACAGGTAAAGGGCATATCCTAGAGCAAGGAAACAGTCGGTACATCCCAGAATATCAGCTTTAAGAAAAGCAGTTGCATGGCTTCAAATGAGACCTTTTAAAGCATTTCAAAGGTACTAAGTACCACGTAAGAAGCAGCTGTGTCTTTCTAAATATATTTTAGTTAAGGCAATATATTGCACCTGAGAGATATTCTACAGACAACTCGCTTAAGGCAGTTCCATCACTAAAATGATCAGAAATAGAACATTAAAAAGGGGGAAAAAAATCACTACCTCTTGCCTGTACTGGATACCACAGGTTCCTTTCTGACCATGTCTGCTGGCAAATTTATCTCCAATTTGTGGGATTCTCACAGAACGTACCTGTAAGTCACAGGAAAACATTCAGTCGATAAATACAGAACAAAAATGATGAGAAGTAGAAAGCACACATGCCAATGCTCACCCTAATCTTGCAGAACTTGTATCCTTCCTGGTTAAGGGTTACCATGACCTGATCTACAATGCCAGTCTCACTAGTTCTCAGGAAAGTGCTGCAGTCCCTCTTTGTGAAACGCCTGTTGGTGCTTTCCAGTTCATCTTCATTCTCTGGCAGCGTTACTGTTTTGCCAATGATGACATCGTCCCCAGACACACGTACCCCAGGTGCTATCAAACCATCATCATCAAGTTTGTCATAGATTGCATGTCTCATACCTTAAGAAGGAAAGGAAAAATAAAAGACTCCCAAACTGTTCAACATACTGGATTTGATGTTCTGCAGACATTCAACAAGCCTGCTTGCAGCTTCAGAGAAAATGTCTAAAGATACTTCCATGCAAATACCTCAACTGATGCATTTTGCTGTTAACACAGACATTTTTGCCACTTTGTATGGTCCCAAAATAAAGAATGAACCAGTTCAGCAACACTGCCCACAAAAATGTAATTTAAAAACTCAGTCTTCACACACTCCTGTATCTCACCTTGGCAAGTTTCACGTGTAGGCTTCTCAAAAACTTCCTCTTGGTCATACCCTTTTTTAGACTCCTGCTCTTTGTACGAGCGATAGAACACAGATCTGAAACAAAGTTATAAAGCCTTTCACAGTGAAATCAGCATTGTTCTTCCTCATCTGTCCACCTCAATTTCACTATAATCACAATTTTATCACACATTATGGCTACTGTTACTAATGAAAACCAAATCAAATCACACCACCTTTCCTCTAAAGTCTCGTTAATCAGTGACTGTCACTGAGGAGGGGAAAACAAAACCAAAACCGCCCCACCACACAAACAAAAACCAGTTTCAGATGGCATTTTGATGGTCACTTTTTAGATATTGCCAAAGTACATAATATATAACATGCTAATTTTTGATGAACTGCAGAGACTTCCAGTTCTGCTTGACATCTCAAAAGTAGTTCTTATTCCTAGATTATGCACATTTTCATCATGCCATTCTCATACTATTTTCTCCTTATACCTGCCATTTTG